CATCATCAGTAATTGCCATCATCGTCGACATGATCGTCATCATCACTGCAGTGTCCGCGACCCCGATTGATGCCACTTCCATTGCTTGCAGAGTCTTCGTCAACATGTCGATATCAACCATGGTCGCCTGCTCGTCTCCGTCCCTGGCCCCACCATCAGACGTATGACATCCTGGCCATCATCATGTTCGTCCTCACCGCGTCGCCATACGAGTAAGTTGCGAGTAAGCGTGGGGTTGTAGGTTGGTTGTGTATGGTCATCCAACAGCCGGTGCTGACGCACGAACATAAATTCACTTAAGGAAAGGCCCATTTGGCACAACTTCAAGACCAGAAGAGAGCCATACAAATTGACCCTAACCCCNNATCCTAAACCCAAACCCTAAATCCTAAACCATAAACGCGGAACAAGCCTCCTGGTGCTTGCCGGCCTTCAGGTTTCATGCAGCACACGTCTTACAGTGTGAGAAATGCCAAAGCCAAAGGAGTTGAGACCGGCCGTCCGTTACGTAGGGAGACTTTGTTGGGTATTGAGAAATCAGGGTCCTACTGTAGGATCCTACTCGGCCAGGTCCAACTGCAAGCCCCTGAGTAGCAACTGCCCCTTCTTGAAGAGCCTTGATTCTGATCCCTGTTATATGATCCTTTTTCAGAGAGGTGTCGCTTAAATAGAGGTCTAGCGCACTGCACATGGGGATCGTGTTGCTCAGGCGCCTTGTTGACGTAACCATCGACGAACTCTCGCCGATCCTCTCTGCGCCAGAACCCCGGGGCAAGGGTGAGCTTAGTTTGGCTCGGTTTCGAGTTTTTCGGTTTGTGGTTCTTGGGCTGGGGGCAGGAAGCATGTCCACTCCGACTTGACTCAGATTTTTCCAAGAGTGATTAACATCGGATGCACTTTTTTCGTAGTGAATCCTTTGGTTGTTCGGATAATGCCACATACAGACATATTTCTAGGGCCGCCATATGTTCGATGCGGCAATCGGTTCAGGAAGCTCAGTAGTGATCTTCAAGAATCTGGATGACTGATCTGCAGATGTGTCCAAAAAGTGGCAACGCTTTTCTGTCTACCTCCTTGCGTTTGTTATAAGCATGTCGAGGGATCCACACTGCCTAGACCAAACTTGAGTGTTGACGATTTTAAACTTCGCTCCGCGTCTTCAGGACGGCCTTCACTTACAGAGGCACTCACTTTGGGTGTAGGAGTTGGTCTTTGCCGCTTAGGACTGAGTTGAAGGTTTCATCTCTCATGGAGCCCAAGCGCTCACCTACAACGTCAGTGACTCCAACATCCCTCGAAGACTCCGACCTCCAGCACCCTGGACGCGTCGTCAACTTTGCCCCTTCAGATCTACATCCTGAAGCCTGCAATTTGCAAAAGCCCTGCAAACATGGCACCGAAAGCCCCACGAACAGTGCACTAAAGCCTACAGGCAAGCAGTTCTTTGAACCCGAGGTACAGAGCTCAGCTCCGGTGGTTTTCCAGCCTTGGCCTCAAACAGCGCAGGGTTTCGGGGGATCACGGATCTCAGGTGCATTGTTTCAGGCTTTTGGTGTCAGGATGCTTTGGGGTTTGGGGCTGGTGTTGAATAGGGGATTTAGCGGAAATTTAGCGTCTCTTCCGGATGAGGGACTTCGTGTTTTTGTGATACCGTTCGAGATGTAGTATCCGGCGTGCATTCTGTCACTTGGGTTTAGGGTCGTTGGTATTTGAGGCTTAGTGTAGATGGTCTTACTGCATGGTTCAGAATATTGGTCTGGGGCAGGATTCACCCGGGTACATGGGCGGTCACCTAGTTGGATTTATCGGGGACTCTTTGCAGTGGCCGTACGTCGGCCCTGCATATCAGGACCGTGAATCCTCCAGCAAATTCGTTTAGGCCTGATGTCTCAAGCTACGTACAGAGTTGGTTTCGGAGTGATGTGCTTTAGAACATACTGAAGTTACCAAGAAGTGCTCGGCGCCTTGCTGGAATGACCAGTTTAACATCCACAGTCCCGGAACCCTCTGCCACACAAGCAGATCCGCAGAGCTTCAGTCATGGCGTGACATTGCCATCACCCCATCTGCCACCACGGTCTTTCAATCTGCCCTGGACCCCATACACGACAGGACCCTAAACCCCCAGAAAGCTCACAGGACACCTTGCCATCCCGAAATCTCCGAGCGGTCCAGGTCTGATCACCACTCAGGAAGCGCGCGTCTCCAAAGACGTGGTGACTCGGCTGTCCTTGTGCCCTCAAAACTCATTGCTTATGGCAAGAAGCCCCGAGCACCACATCTAGAGAAGATCCAACAGCGGCACTCCTTGAAAAGACGAACGGTAAGGATCATGACCGAAGATGCATAGAGGGCCCTTCTTGGTCGAAGTGCTGTTGGACGCTAGGTCGCCAAATACATCAGAAGGAGGTTGCAATGAATGGTGAATCCTTGGTAACCGGACTCCCGCACGATCTTGTAGCAGGATCCTGTCGGTATACAGTTCAAGGTGTGTGTGCACAGCCTGGGGAATTGGTTGTGGAGCCCTGAGGTGCAAGGCTCAAGACGGTATCAGGTCCACAACGCTAACCCCTAGTTGATCGAGCGATATACTTGTGCCTGAAGGTATATTAGTAGGATCTCTCGACGGTTTGAGGAAGTTTCCTGCATTCAGGGGTGTTGGGCTCTCTGACGAGCCCTGAGCCCTTCAAATCAATCCAAAAAGGACTAGCAAAATCTGAGGAGAAGCGACTCCTGCGAAGCAAGGCCGTCAAGCACCCTTTCTTTCGAGGGGGTCTTCGGGCTTTAGGAGGACTGTTCAGCTTCAGAAGGGCTTGAGGGCCGGGATTTTTGAGGTTCGGGTTTACGTTTTTTCGGTTCAGTTTGTGGGATTAGGTTTAGGCTTCATGTCGGTCGTCGCTAGCGTTCAGTAGCAAAACTGCGACCTGTCAACTGTAAGCGCTCATCTTAGGAGGGAAAGATGCTCATAGTAGGCATGTCAGTCATTAATGTCAAGCAATCTCGCAAGTCGAACTCCTAGTCGACCTTTTCCACGCTTGCCGCGGCGCCCCCGACCTTTGCCCCTCGAACCTGGAGAAGTTCTGGCAAAAGGCCAAAAAAGTCAATTTTGAGGGCTTGGGGGCTTGGCAACAGGAAAAAGCCCAAGGTGGGGGGCTCGGGATTTGGGGTTTATATTAGGAGGTCTTGCATCCACGCTGAGCTGCAAACTCCGGAGACCCTTGATTGACGCCTATATGCTCAACCCTATAAACCCTAAACCCCACCGCATCCTGGTTTCATTTCTGGTGCTGGGCAAGACGCCGGCCCAACCTTTCCACCCCTGACGGCAGAGGTCCCAACAATGTCCTACATCAGCCAGTGCCATTTAGTGACTGATTTGATCTTAGGCATTTCTGCTGTCCGAAGCCTGCACCAAGCCATGACCAACAACCAATTTCTCATCCCCTCCGCTGGCTTCTGTCCTGAAGTCTGCAGATTACAGATTGCCGCGCGGCAATGTTTGGAGGGGGTCTTAGGGTTGTTGGACTTTGGCCTTTCCTCGGGCCATGCCTAAACCTCCCACGCCATGTTTTCCATAAACACCGAAGCCAAAACCCTGAGTCCCTAAACCCCCAAATACCTCCCAAACCCTCAGAGGACGAGTGCCTGGAAGGTCGAACTTGACTGGGTCCAGCGCAAGGTGCGTCCCATCTTGAAGGTCTTGAAGCATCTGATCAAGGACAAGGCAACTCCGGAGCTAAGGGGTTTAGTGGATCAGGGTTCGGGGTTCAGGGCCCTCGGGGTCAAGGGATTTAGGGTTTAGTGGCTTTAGTGGTTTATGTAAGTTAGGGTTGGGGTTTCAGTGCCGCCTTTCGCAGAAGTTGTATCTTGCACAGTTCCTGGTGGTGCTTGTCAAAGCACGTGCCATCTCCACGAGAAGTACAAAGCGTTTCACACCATCAGCCTCAACAATCCTCAAACTGCCAACCGTATGGCAGCACATCCAGGGTGATGGAGATAACGGCATGCCGCAATAAAGCAACATCATAATCGTTTCACATGTTGGGCCTTGTATCCTGAGACGCCCACTGATCGTACTGGCACATCAGCTGTTTGGGTTTACATGGCTTGATGGCTCTGTCGCAGAGGAGTTTGCGATTTCGGACGCAAGCGTGGTTTGCTTTCGCGCAGGTCTGTTGTAAGATCCTGGAGCAACTGTGTTTGTAGTGTATGTAAAGCTATACATATACCACATAAAACCATGTATACGGATTCACACTCATATTTTTGCAATCAGTTGCACATGTGTATATATATATATATATATAGATGTATGCACATACTACATATGTATATGTACTTACGCTTACGGGTACACCTGTTCACACATATATGTTTACATGGAAGCACAAGTCTACGCATAAGCACCAGTCTACGCATGTCATGTACACATATACACACGCACTTGTTGCAGTAGATGCGTCTGCATGTACCTACAGATATTTGATATAGATGGATGCATGCATGGACAGGCGGTTGGATGATATGCGTATACAATCGGCAATTTACAAGGCTAAAGATCATGATCTTATCCACGAAGAGACGAAAACTGTCAACAACCATATTGGTCACAACAGTGACGAGTAAGTGTGACTGCAAACAGCGACCGCGAGGGGGGCATCTTTGCAGTCTCGCTATGATGTCGCAAGCTGGACCGGCTATCAGTACTGTCTCAAGAAACGTACATACTAGTCACAACAGTGCCGAGTATGGCTGACTGCAAACAGCCAGCGACTGTAAGTGGCACATCTTCTCAGCATCAGTATTATGTCGTATACAGGCCCGACTATCAGCACCGTGTTTATGTTTGCTAGTCTTGTGAAGCTACAGGACATAAGTTGCTGCCGTGATGGTGGTGGCAACACCAGTAGTAGCATGAGGATTGTTTTCTTTCCTAGACTTACCATTGTTGCTGTTTGTTGGTATGGCTATGCAGCCAAATGATTATGACTAATTGTTGCGTCTGAATAATTCTGAATTCTTGACGGCTGTGGGAAGGCCATCGACCCGGACGTTACCAGATATCTTGAAGATGTTGAGGATCACCTCAACCTTTTCTTGGAGGAGGCAGGTTCTACGCTAAGGTTCTCCCTCAAAGCAGCGTAGATGCGGTGAGAGCTTCGATGTCTGCGAAACCCACGATGCGTACGCCCCCGCGCATCTTCTAGGCGAGAACAGCTGAAGGTGTCACGGCTTCACGAGTTCAGGGAGTGCGAGCTTTCGGCGGTAGGATCTTGGAGGTTCTTCCAGCTTCCCGTTCAATCTCCAAGGGCTTTTTCAGCAAGAACGATTCAGGCAGATTATGTCGAGAAGTGAGTCAAAATCGTTTATGCAGTTCTTCAGCCAGTCTTGCCGCAGCCCTTGTATAATACTCTGTCAAGACCCTTTCCAAAACCCGCACAACACTCTCTCATTGACCTGTGTTCGCAGGTAAGCCGCATCATCGGAGTGTGCAACTCCTTGCGGGATGAGGTGAACTCCTACCGGGATCGCCAACAGCAAAAGGCCGGATCAACCACACAATCGTAGTGTTCGGGGTTCCTGAACCATCTCAACACGAGCACACGAATCTACTCTAAGTGTAGGCGTACGCGTGTGTGTATGTGTATATATACAAGTATTTAACACATATAACATATAGCATACATATATGTATGTCAGTAGCCAAACACATGAACAGATATTCATGCAAGTTTCATACATGTACGTACCTGTTGAGGCCATCACGCTTCGTGGGATCAGGGTGTTGTTCAACAACAGGGTCCAGAGGCGCAGATTCGAGATAGCAGTAGAATTCTCCCGCTGCCCAGTGCATTTGCTTGACAATGCTCCATCAACTTGAGCCAGTGCTGATGCGAAAAAACACAAACCCCGAACCTCTCATCCTTAACCGCTTTCTGCAGGTGCTTTACGTGTTGACCTTGGTGACGACCCTAGTGATGCCTACCCATCTCCTCACGGGGATCTTCGGCATGAACTGGCAGGATGAGGCCTGGCGACGGTGCCTTCTGTGGGAAAGGTCTTGGAACTTTGAGGCTCAGGGCTTTCAGGGTTTGGAGGGTTTAGAGATGGTTAAAATGTTGAGTAGGTTTCATTTGGGGGCAGCATAAAGAGTAGCAGCAAGACTGCTGAGGACGAAGTCCTGCATTAGCTCCAGTACTCTAAACTATCGTGTGCTTCTTATCTTGTGGATGATGCAGGCGTTTGTGCACCAACCCTGTTGTGAGACCGAACATAATACCCTAAACTGGCCATAGGTGACAGGATCTCTGAGGTTCTGTGCACTGGCCCCACGACAACGCATCAAGCTTGGCGTCCTTCAAGCAACCCGCTCTCAACCCAACCCCGAACCAGGCCGGCATGAAAACCCAGTTGCTGCACTGCATAACACTAGACTCCCACCAGCCGACACAAGAGCCCAGCCCCTTCAACAGTAAACCGGAAGCAGAATCTTCGGCAGATTCAGAAAAGTCAGGGGTCCTAGGCACCCATTCCGAGAGGCGGGACAGCCCGTGGTTCCCGGGTTCGGCGTGATGGCCGAGAATCGAGGTTACTACCTCTTCTGGGGTCCCGCCGGCCTGTGCATGTGATTTGGAAGTTGGTGATTTCGACCATGCGGTGAGGAAAGAGTTGAACTATCAAGTTTACTAGCATACGTGTCTGTATGTATGTGCGTGTGTGTATATGTATGTATATATATATATATATTCACATACATGTGTGTATATCTATATCTGTATCTATACCTATATCTATATCTATATCTATATCTATATCTATATCTATATCTATATCTATATCTATATCTGTATCTATATCTGTGTATGTATATATATATATATATGAAGCTTGTAGTGTCACTTTAGGGTACCCGTGAGAAGGATAGCATCAGTCATGCAGAAACCCAGAAGTAGAACACTTGCAAACGACACGCCACTACTCCTGCTGTGCTAAATGTGTGCATGGCCATGGTAGTTATAGAGGAGGTACGCTGGATGTACTAGGGCCAGGAGCTAGACTCTAGCTACGCGAAAGATGATTGGCCGACCTTCAGTCAATAGAAATCCATCGGTTTCACCTCTAGAAATAGACTTGATTAAGCTGCTGAGCCGTCTGTGGCTGCATGCATAGTGGTCGAGAGTCGTTGTTGTGGTGTTGGGTTCTGAAGACCGTTGCAGATATATGACGCGGGAAACAAGTCCGAACGGGTGGTCATCATGTTGGTTCCTGCCCTCCGGACACCCACACCTATTGGTATTGTCGTTGGGGTATACATACACAGCCCAGGAGTTTGTCAGTTCTTCTGTCGAACTTTCCGCAACAGTTTCATGAGTTTCGACGCTCCACGCGGGCCACACGTACCCCAGCTTCAGAGCCCTCTTCTCCTGCAATCTCTGACCACTGCCAGGGACTTCGATCGCATTTACTTTTGTGATTTGGACCACTTTCCGACGGATCCTTAAATGGATCTGAGGTTGTTCGTGAGGCCACGAAAGGCCGGCTCCTATTCGTGAAGAGCTGTTGGGTCAAGTCTTTGCGATGGAAGGTACATAGGCCTGGAGTTTGATCCCTTAAGTTGCTTGCCTGACAGACCTCGGAGCATTTCCCAGCCTCCAAAGACTTGTCTCCTGCAGCTTATCGCAGAGTTGGGCCCTTTGATGCCCTCAGCCGTGGTCAAAGGCGCGGATTGATAAGCCTGCCCTGCCCCCTGACGATTCTGCCTTTGAAACCCATTAGCATCATAAGGGTTAAGTTGTTTAGGGTTCAGGGTTTAGGGCCTTCCTTAGCCGGCTCATGGCACCGCCATGCCCAGCCTGCCCGTGGCTGCAAAGAGGCCGCAAAGAGGCTCCCTGAAACCTTGTACAGGCCTTGTCGGCGAATTGCTGCTCAGTGGGCAGGCCTTTTTCCGCGACTCCTCCAAACGCTTAGAAGTCAAGGATCTCATGTTATTTTTGGAGAACGAAGCCACAAATAACAAGCCGAGTGTCTACCAGAGGGTGAAAGCCATCTACGAGGCTCTGCCTTTCTGACAGACCACCTGGAGAATGAAGCTGTCGTTCTTTAAGCCTCTGGGCGATTCATTCTTGCAAGAAGGACGAAAACTGTGAAGCCTAAGCCTAAAATGCCTCAACTTGAAGCCCCAAATCCAAATTCCAAAGCAGACTGCCCTGCCTGAGCAGCTCAGAGCCTCTTTGCATGTGCCTGGACCGGCAGCAAAAGATGTGCAGACATTGAAAATCAGACAGTTCAGCTGCCATTGAGGTTTTATGCGGGTGCGGGTGATGCTGCGGGTCATGGTGGTCGTGGTAGTGCAGGAGGTTGCGGAGGCCCTGTTTGGCTGCTGGGACAGTGGCACTGCTCATGCGGATCTTTGCGGACTCTGACTGTTGTGCCAATGCCCGTGCGATTGCTATACGGTGATCGCGATACTGGTGGGCGGAGTCCAGCGGACCCTTAAATCATTCAACACGGCATGAAACCTAACTCTAAACCCTCAAGCCAGAAACCGAAAGTCTTCAACCCTACAACCCCCCACACCCTGAACCCCACGCAGCGACAGCCAGTTACAGCTCAAAGCTTCGGCCCCTTGGAGCAAAGCTCGCGAACCTCCCAAGGCCCTGGAGACCTGTGTTGCTGCCGGGGACTTCCGTCTGGTACAGCGTCCGGGGCTGTTTGAGGTTCGGGGTAGAGTTTGCCCCTAATCCCAAACCCTAATTAAATCTTTCTCGCGCCAGAGGTCGCCATGCGCTTCCACGAAATTGTGATGCTTTACTGCCTCGTTGCTGTGCGCGGCTCCTGTCCCGCTGGCCAAGAGGAGGTGGAGAACCTCGGGTTTGTGGGTTTGGGTTGAGGGTACGTGACTTTACGGTTTAGGGATGGGTGTGGAGTTTTAGCAAGAGTTGTCAAGAGGTGTTCAGAGTTAGCCGCTCTATTTATGAAATCATGCTTTAATCTTTAATTGCTTAGCTTCAGTTGAAGGCTAGGGGATAGGCTGTTAATGCTTCATGCCATCTCTATGTCTATCTATCGATCTATCTATCCATCTATCTATTTATCTATCTATCCACTATCTATCGATCTAAATATCTAATTAACCCATCTATCTATGTATCTATCTATGTAT